AAAACAATCCGGGTCCTCATTTTACCCACCTCGGAAGGATGGAAGGCTGAGTCAACCCTGAGCCGGTGAGATTTGAACAGCCAAACTACAGAACTGCAGTCAGCTGAAGTAGCCTGCAGTGCTGCATTTAACCACTGCGCCACCTCGGTTCTTTAGTTGATGTGGCACAGGGCCAGGGGAGGTGGCGGAGTACAGGGTGGCCAAAAGGGCAGAGATGGGAGGGGAGATAGGTGGGAGAAATTAAACCACCCCTGTACTCACAAGTGCAGGTGGGCTGCCTAATGCCTAGATATTGACCACGTGACTGAAGAGAAATTGCAATGGATGCAAGTTTGGGAACTAGACATAATTACCATTTGTTCAACACCGCTGTAACTTGGGATACTGAATTAATGAATGGTGGTTTCCCAAAGACAAACTGTTCCTCCGAATATGAACTGGATTTATCTGTGATTAAGAATACTTACTTTAACTGTGGAACGGCCTTGAAATGCTGAGCTTCGGACGTTGAAATTTTTCTCCCCAAAAACCGAACGCTGAACACAATGACAGTCTGGATCCTCCTGTGAGGTCAAGAAATGACAATGAGGATTCTATCTCTAATTCATAGCAATAATTAATGAGCAAATACTAAAACCTCTGTAGTTTATCAATTATCCTGTTTTTACTAGGAGCTCAAGGCTGAAGTCATAATGGTCCATCCTCCCATTTTTCAAATACATCCCTGTGAGTGAGTGGGAAATTAGCATGTTTTAGAACTGGAAGAAGAACCAAGAAGAACCTGTGCTTTATTGATAGTACCCTTATAGTCAAAAATATAACAGATCTAGAAGATCTATTAATGAAAAGCAAGGAGCACGGTAAAAATATAGGACTAAAATTAACTGTAATGATCAAACTAATGCCAGGCCAAAAAAACCTTACAATTAACGATGATGGTACTGAACAATGGATAGCTTTTGCCTTTTAGGATTCACCATTAACAGTAAAGGAAGCTTTGTGAAACACACCATAGCTAGAATTCGGTAGACCAAATCACAAAGGTCTTGGAAAAGTTACTCAAAGACCATGATGCATCTGTACCTACAAAGATCAGAATTGTGCAAGCTATGGCAGCAGCCCCCAAACTTTTCGGCTTTGTGGACCTGCGGGAGAGATGGGGATGGTTCTGGGCAAGTGGCGGGCGGGCGCATGCGCAGCTCCATTTGCACACCCACCACCTGTACAAATAGAGCTGCGTGCACGCTTACCCACTGGTCGTGCAAGTGAAATTGCACGTGCTCACCCACCTCTTTCGTGGCCTGATTGGGAATCCCTGAGCTACAGTACTCCATGCAACACAGAGTTCTGTACAAGTGAAAGTTAAGATTCTGAAGAAGCAAAAGTAAAGTAGTATTAATGCTTTTGAGCATTAGCAGTGGAGAAGACTTCTGAAAAAACCATGGAGAGCCATGAAAAGAAACAAATCCATAGCTGAATAAATCATCCCAAAGAGGCACAAATGACCAAATTATCTTACTTTGGAGAAATTGTGTGAAAATCTAGTTTTCTGAAGCAAAATCTCATGCTGGGAAAGTCAGAGGAAAGGGAAGAAATTGCCAGCAATAATGTAAATAGACTCAATTATAGTGGTGGTGGAAAAACTGAAGGACCAGCTAAGGTCAGATCATCCTGAAAAGTATCTGTGACCTGATGACATATAACCAATCAATCTGCATGGTAGATGGGCTGAGAAACCGTACTTGGGGTCAAAGGCACTTAGTAAGCTGCTGGGATTGAGGTGGATCAGAACCCGGGTCTGTCTACCCAATATCAGTATAACAGCCTAACCACTTCACCATACATGAGATAGGAACTTGCTTTCCAAGTCCATATTTGGTTGGTCATACATTGCCACCTGCTGAGACAAACCCCATAATCATTCAGGATAATGCTTGGAGCAGTTACACCTTAATATGAAAAGATAAGTAATGAAACAGACCCAGATTTTTTTTATTCTGTAGTAACCAATCTGGAGCCCATTAATACACAACACTCTCATATAAAATACTATATAAGGATAATTATTTCAGAGTAACGAAATCCAATTTTGTATGATATCCGATATAGATATTCCTTCAAGATTTCATACAAATACGAAAACTCTGAAACAGAATGAAATATTATTCTGGTATTATATCTCCCCCTGTTGGATAAAGTTACTTATTAAATAAATCCATCCAGCAAAATTATGGGAAAAAAAGAAAAAGAAAAGAAACTAGAACCTTTCTTTTGTGTCCTTGTTTAATCTGTGTTTGTGAAATGGAAGAAAGCCTTTTATTAGCTGTTTTTGTAGCTGACTGATGAACGAGCTGCCTTGATGTTGGGGAAGTAACTTGGCTCCCCATGGTTAACGGAGATTTGTGGTATGCAGAACTCCTTTGCTGAGTTTCCGATGGAATAATTTTAAGAAGTTCCACTTTTGTCTCAGGAGTTCCTTGTGCCAAGCCAAAGTCAACCAACGCATATCTGAAGACAATTAAAAACATGAAGTTAATGATAATGCTCACTTTTCCTATTAACAGAATCTAACAACTTCTTCCTTGTTTAATACTACCGTGTTTCCCCGAAATTACGACATGTCCTGAGAACAAGACCATGCCATATTTTTCCTGTGGGCAAAAATATACGCCCTCGCCCAATAATAAGCCCCCTGGACAACCCCCCCCCTCCAGCCAGGCAGTGTCACTCACCAACCTAGCGATATCCTGAAGGCGCAAAGCTGCAGGAGCCGGGGGGAGGGGGCAAAGGCGCTCACATTGTTTGACACCTTTGGGATACCGCTAGGTTGGTGGGTGGCACTGTGCCCAGCTGGAGCGGGGGGTTGCTGGGCACCTGGCAACGCCCCTTTCCAGCCGGGCAGAGCGCCACGCACCGACCCAATAATATCCCAAAGGCGCTAAGCCACATGGCACTCTGCCCAGCTGGAAAGAGAGGTTGCACGAGCACTTGTTCTGCCTTCAGCTCGCGAGCCTCCCAGCCTCACCATGCCCAGCTCTCCCTGCAGGGCTGGGCCAGGGTGCCGCCACTGCTGCCCCGCTGCCACCGCCATGCTCCAAGCACAACCGGCTTCCAAACTCCAGAGATCCTCTGGGACTATGCTCTATGGTTGTGGGCTGGCTGTTGGGAGACTGGTGGGACAGAGAGTCTTCCCGAAGCAAGCCCACAACCATAGAGCATAGTCCCAGAGGATCTCTGGAGTTTGGAAGCCGGTTGTGCTTGGAGCATGGCGGTGGCAGCGGGGCAGCAGTGGCGGCACCCTGGCCCAGCCCTGCAGGGAGAGCTGGGCATGGTGAGGCTGGGAGGCTCGCGAGCTGAAGGCAGAACAAGTGCTCGTGCAACCTCTCTTTCCA